CTTGACTCTCTCCAGACTCAGTAGCTGTAAGGTGGTGCTTACTTTTTATAACTCTTGTCTTCTGTCCCTAGGAAAARGCTGGGCATCTCTTTGGCACTCAGTATGTCTCTGTTTATCACATGGATAGGAAAATGTAATCAATGTATGAAGAGGTAATGTGAATAGCTACAAGATTTACAATGCACACGGGATGGATATCCAGTGAACAGTGAGGGCCCTTCCATCCCAGATTCCATCACCCATTGCCCCTTCCTAAGACCACTACTGCTACTTGCTCTTGCAGAGATACCCTGTGGCTGATCAAGTTATCTAGAGAGATGGAAGATGAGTACTTGATTCAAACATGCCATCGGCGTTTCCAAGGACTTCTGTGCTCAACGTGGCTGTCTTGGGGCATCTCCTCCTGTCCTAGGCCACCTTTGACTTCCTGCCTCTTTCCCCTTCCTCTGAACATACTTCATCCTTCCACCCTCTGCCTTTTCTACCAACGTCCTCCTCTTAAAGGGTTCTTCTCACCACCATCCACAAACGTTTCCACCTCACCTTCCACCTGCCCTAATCCATAGCACATTGCTCATGCTGTTTTGGGTGGCACAAGCTCCAGGTGGCTCTTCTGCTCTCCACTGGCCATTATTCTGGGTGGGGAGCTCACCGTCAGGCAGAGTTAAGAAAGTCAMCTTTCTCTCTGGCTCCTCCAGGAGCTTTACGCTGTCTCTTCCAGGGTAGGGTGGGTAACATCCCAGCAAGTTCTGCTGAGCCACTGCACAAATCTCTGTGGGACTAAGGATTCAGAATAATCTTCTAGAACCTAAAGCCATACAGCTATAAAGCAGTCATCATTTTAGAGGTATTCCATGTTTGGACTTTCACAGTTTAAGTTTTAAAATGATCTGTTCTTCTGTTGTTCTCCATTCCCTTACAGTTCTCAGTAAAGGCAATAATTTAAATCATCAGTGCTGCTGTGGTCAAGCTCATAAAACCCAGAACCCCGAGGTGAAAAGCCAGCACTTTCTGCACCACTTCATTAGTTCATAAGAGCAAGTCTGAGGTCATTAAGTCACATTATCAGAGTCAGGAATGTAGTCTTCCACCAATAAGGTGTATTCATCCAGTTTTTCTTAATATTCTTCTGGAAGATGTGTACGTGTTAACAGGAAAGTTATACCATTTTGTGGCTGGTATTCCACATTGGCTTTTTATAAACATATACACTGAAGAGTTCCAAATATTTCTCTCTTTCTGAAATTGCTTCCCAAGGTCCATATCTGTATTTCCTGATGCCCTTTACATCCTCTCTTTAGACCTGCAGGCATTTCTCACATTAAACAGGCCTCTACCCCTGAATCTGCTCTATTGCCTGCATTCTTAATTTCAGCTAATAATTTCTTGTTTGAATTAGAATTGGCTTTTTAATTGCTAGATATACTTTACACTATGACTCACTCTGCACATGCACACACATAGATATAACTTGAACAGAAGTTTAAAAAATATGTATCTTTATTTTATCTGTCACCCTCTGGTATCTTCTCTGTGTCTCATCTTTTGAAAAAGACTTATGTACCCCCTTATTCCTTTATTGGTTTACCTCTTCATTTGGCTAAAAGGTATTGTGTGCTCATGGGACTTGGGCTCTGCTTTGAGATGCTCCTATCAACTCTCTAGATGAAGTTGACAGTCTTCAATGACTTGCTATTTGATAAAAGCTGAAACATAGATCAAATGCAGCCTCTTTGAGCTCAATATTTGACCTAAAATGATATCCCAGCCTGCAGTCCAGTCACACTGACTTTCAGGCTCTTACCCAAATATACCACTCATTCATTCATTCATTCATTCACTCAGCCACCCAACATTTACTAAGTGTGTATTCTAGTGTGAGGCACATGGTGGGGTACTCAGTATCCAAATATGAATATCATGGTCTCTTCTCTGAGGTCGGTAATAGCGACAAGTAGTCTAACAATTACAAAGATTAGGTCCTATAAATGGAAGTCTGCACAAAGCACTCTGGGATCACAAAAAAAGTGAGTCATGACACGGACCAGAGAATACAGAAGTTCTGTCAAGTAGGAGTTCAGCTGGCCAAGTCAGAGGCAGGGCATTTGGGAAGAGGAATCGTCACTGGGAGAAGGCCTGGGGCATGGGCAGCCTGATAATTGGGGAAACTGAAATTATGCCAGTTCTAACCAGAATAATCTGCTCTCACTGCTGCCCCTTCTGTACTTGGTTACTCAGTTCTCACTCTCTTACTAAACTGTCCTCTGCCACACAGGCTTTCTCCCTGTTCCCAAAGAGACTCAAACAACACAGCCTTCTCTGGGCTCTCGCTTCACTGTCACACACCTCCAAGAGAGCTCTTGTTCTGTCAGAGGCAGCTCATCACATCACTGCTCCTGGTCATCTGCTACACTGGGCCAGGATCRCCTCAAAAAGGGCCCCAAGTCCCATCCTCATGTCTTCTGTGAGGGACAGGAAGGTGCACAATCATTATGCCCAGACTTAAGGCATAATGGATGCCTTGAATGGATATGTAGAAGACTTCTCAGCACATCCTTTGAAGACTTCCAGGGACATCATATGTCATAAGCGCACTTGTTTACAGATGTCATAACCACATTTTAAATATTGATGGCACAGATGCAATTTTCTTTATTACTGTTTTATTCACAAAACTTTTAGATAATACTCTTTTTCCTTCCCCATAGTGGAATTTATTAATCAGTTAATACAAATTAAAATCTTGTACCTGAGACAATACATACCCACTTTCCCTAGTGCTTTGGTAAACCATCATTGCTAAGCATTCATTTAATCCAAACTGCCCTTTCCAAAAAGGCTTTTACAGAAAGCAAAATTAATTTTTAATTCTTCTTCTTTTCCTTTGCCAACCTTCTGCCCACTTTGCATTTCCTGTGTAAATGCTCCAGGATTATTGGCAGGAGAAGCAATTGGGTCCGGAATCTCAATAGCCCAATCTGTAACTGAAAAAAAAAAAAAATAAAAGGTCTGTGTATTTCTGTCTCCTGGTAATTTTTATGGACAACCATACTATCTGATAGCTACTTTGACAGAACACTAGATGTGGATGAGGATGACATCTAGTGAATAGTTTTGCTACCACAARTACTGTAGAAACAGGGCCAGCCAGGTAACAATCATAGTTCATTAGGAACAAGAGAGCAGCATTCATGTGCTGGCTGGACTTTTCATTGTTTATTAAATTTCAGAAGGTCTATTTCATGTGATGGATTGGCTGCATTTGAGTTACAATTTTAGTTGAAAATTTCCTCCCTTTAGTAAAGTTTAGTGTGATGAACCCCTTTGTCCTTTATACAATACTCAGTGTGAGAACAAAGAGAAACCCCCCAGATAAGCTGCAAGCCCTGTCTGCAAGCTTGATTGTCTCCTTCTCTTGAAAGGGTGGTTGGGGTTATTGAAAAGAAAGGGAAAATGCCTTTTACAGAAACACTTTATCACAATTGTTTATGTCGGGCAGACAGTGCCTTTGTCTCTTTTCCTGTCTTACAAACTCTTCCTTCCCCCTGCCTTGCCCCTCCCCACCCTGTCCATCAATTATGAGACTTTGTTTGTGTAAATCTCCTGATTAATGTTAGCATTAATTAGTGTTTACAAAATTAACCAATTTTTTATTTCAAAAAATAATTGTATTATCGTGTGTGCAATTCAGTGTGTCAGTGAAGAACATAAATACGTAGGTGCCCTTGACTTCTGCTCCCTGTGTGTGCCAAAGTTTACTGATTGCCTAATAATGACTGCTAATCCTCAGAGGTAAAGAGAATATACCTTATTTCCTCCTATAATATTTCCCCTTYCTCCTCCTCTCTTGCCATTCTCCAGCTTTATTTATCTCTTGCCCTTTCCAATGTTTTCCCATCAGAGCTTGAATGACAGAATCCAGCATTGACTCTCTTAAGTGGAGAGTCACTGTGGGGAAAGTGGGAAGTGGGCATTCTGCATTCTCCCACAAAGCCACTGCTTCCCTGACCTGACCCTTTTCTACAGATACTTTGAATAATATCTAATACTTACAAAGTGCCCACTGTGTACCTGATGGTATTCGCCACACAGATGAGTCAGGTGCTGTTATCACCCCCTGCACCCTGCCCAGTTTGCATATGAGGAAATTGAAGYTCAGTGAGATTCTTTCTTGCCTCAGTTTACATGGTTAGATAATAGGGGAGCAAGGATTTGAACTCAAGGTGTCTGTCTTCAGCATCTGTGCTCCTAACCCTTAAAATTCACTGTTCTCAATCAACGGTTCACCGTGATCTTGGAGAATGAGCCCAAGGGAAAGTGGCACTGAAGATTCAGATTGAGTGTGCCTAGTTATGGTGAGCTGGAATTGCTCTTGGATTCCTTTTGCCAGGTCTAACATTGCGGTGATAGGAATGTAGATGGGGAAAGAAAGTGGAAGTTGTAAAAGGAGAAAGTGTATGAAGAATAATATGTTGGCAAGAGGAAACCTTAAATCATATAGTTTAACTTTTTAACTGTAATGAGAGAATTTGAGCACGCTAAGCTGTCACTCTTGCATCTTTGAAATGTTATGATATTCAGACAAAAATGAATGGGAGAAATGACAAAGTTCTCAAAACTGATAAATGATGAGACATGATACTGGACTGAAGGCAAAAAGCTCATGAAAGAATCACGAGGGATACAGATGTACTTTATTCAGGCCCATGAAGATGACATCTTATGGTTTCATTCCTTGGCGCACTTATTATGTTTGGGTTGATAAAATATAACAGATTTACTTGTCTTGTCATGTTCAGCTGCATTTGTCAGAACACAGAGAGTCATCTTGGGTGGCTCTTTAGCTGGATTTGTTTTTACAGAAATAAAATCCCTGGCACATGATAATGGAAAAAAAAATCCAGTTTCATAATATGCAGTGTACTGTTTTASTACACTTGAGAATTTTGAGTGCTTTGGAAATAATAAGTCTGTTTTCACAATTTCCTGCTCTCCACTAGGTTCTTGGAACACCAAATGAGGACACATGGCCTGGAGTCCATTCTTTACCACATTTTAAGCCAGGTATGTTTCATTAATTACAAATACTAAATACTTCCTATTGCGAAGGGTGAATGTATAAATGTTCACTCTCAAGTAATGTATTGCCTTGAAAATGTCTGGTTACTTTTTGCTTCATGAATTTTAAGCACTAATGAAGTTTCCTTTTGATTTCACAAGTATTTGTACAAATAGGGACAAATATGAGAGACTTTCACCATGTGAACTCTGGGTTGACCGCATGGTCTTGTGGTCATTTCATTATCGATTCAACCAGCATCCTTGTCTATAAAAACAAAATTCAAATTGGAGCTCTACAACTCAGTTGCTTCACTTCTTTTAATAATGCTGGGAAAAGTATTAAATTGTAAAAAGGAAACATCACAATTTGATTTATTTTTACAAAACTAGTAATATATGGTCAATTAATTTTATTTAAATATATAAAATGTTCTGGGTGCCCCACTCTATAGAATTTGGTACATTTCAATGCAAAATATGTAAATCCCTAAATTTAGAAATCTGAAAGAGCAGAACTTTAAAAATAAGTTGTCACTTTTTCCATCACCAGTAGGTGGCAGTCATGAAACTTTCAGTTTTAATAATTACAGGAAAATCTCAGTCTGCTTAATTCTTGAGGGATGAAAGATTTGGAACTTGAAATTTAATAAAATCTGGTAAAATGAATTATTATAAAATGATTCTCTTCTTTTTGTTGTTGTTTCTTTTCTCAAATACAAAACATGGTTTATGAAATGCAGACCTACCATAAAATTACTGAAAGAGATTTTATGGAAGATCTAATAGTCCATTATCCTATTACAGAAAAGAGTTATGAATAATTTCTGTTAGGAGAGCCAAGTATATTCTTCTTCTTCTCTTCCCCTCTTTTGGGGACTATCAGGAATAAATTATCAATTCTAAAGAACGACTGAGATGGGAAACTATTTTTATTCTTAATATTTTTTCTTCTGAAAGTGTACAGTGTGCTGAGAATTCTTTTATCTTCTTCAGCAGCCCCAAAGACTCTTTGTACTTATTCTGAAACTCTTAAATGACTTCTATGTTCTGAAATACTCTAAAAACTTAACAATTTAATATGGATTTTTTTTTTAATTTCTTATTTTTTGTAACCAAGCAAGAAGCATCCTCAAACAGATCTGCTTGTTCCTAGTGGGTTCTAAGTGAAGAACATAGCTTTTCATAAATGTTCCAGTTGCAGGCTCTTAGAGAAGGTTTGCTTCTCATTAGGATTTAAAATTTTGTCCTAGGGAAATAAAATAGAAGAATTTGAGGGGCTGGACTATAGCTCAGTGGTAGAGCGCTTGTCCAGTCCTGAGTGCAATTCCCAGCACTGCAAAAAACAGTAAAAATAAAACTTAAAAACATTTTAAATGAATAAAGTTAAATGCAGAAAGAAAAAAAAAAAAAACAAGATAGTCATTTGGCCTGCCAAGTTTCTAGATGAAAAAGCTGGAGTAATTTGTCTGTTGTGGTGTGAATAGAAGTTAATCTCCATCAATAGCATACACGAGCATTTATTAAATATATTCTGGAAAGTTCTGCGTGATGTAGTGTAAATTAAGCTAACAGATTGTGAACCTTATGAGACCAGGGACTATTCATAGTACATATTTGGCATCAAAAAATAATTGTTGCTCTGAATTATACTGAATGTTTAAACAGACATTATGTATGTGACTCCTTTGGTCAATATATATAAATTGGAATACACATGTTTAGAGTTATACKTAAGCACTCACCAGACACAAAACACACACCAGGCAGCAGTCCAGAAGGGCACACACTTGAATGGCATAAGGCATGGGTGCCGCTGAGCTCATGCCACATTCCAAGCACAGCTTGACACAGAGTGCTAAGTGCTTCCTGAGTTGATTTGACAGGAGTCAGGTGGAAACCAGCTTACAAATAGGCAAAAGCAGCAGATCTAYAATGACCTCCATGAAGCGCTAGACAAACCATCAGGAGAGACCTGGTCTTGACCTCACAGACTCCATACTCCAGGGGGAAAAAAATACACTTTCCTGAAGAAGAGTATCAGTGCTAAGACCTGCCTGTGCCGCCCCGCCCCACCTCCTCATTCTACCCCAAGAGAGCCTTAGAAAGTCTGAGAGGAATACAAAATCCAAGCCATGAAGACATACTTTATTTTATAATAGATAATAAATTTAAGCAGCTTGAGAAGTCGAACAATGTGAAAAGGAACATAAAGCAAAGCCTTTTCCTTCTCTGCTCTCCATCTGCCAGACCACCTCCAGCCCCCAGAATATTCATTTCCTATTTTTCTTTCCTTTATGTAAATATAAGAAATTATGAATATATAGGTATATATATATGTATATGTATTATATATGTATGTGTATATATATAATATATATGTATATTTTATATATATACATACATACACATACATATTTTCCCATGTTAATGCTTCTTGTAGGTCTTCTCATGTCACTGCATAGAGAAGGCTGGTGTGGTTTTCTTCTCTGTTGTGCAGATTTAACCTGTTTTCTAATTACAGTCATTTGGGTATTGCTATTGTTCTACTATTAGAAATTTTAATGCAGTTAAAATCTGTGGACGTTCACATATACATATACATTGTGTGTATGCAGGTGTATCTGGAAGGTGAGTTATGAGGAATAGGGTTAAAAAGCCAACAGGCATAAACTTACAACTTTAAACACTTCTGCCAAACTATTGTGCAAAGGAGCGACACCCCTTGCCTCTGTTACCAGCAAAATACATGGGAATGCTGCTTCTCCACAGCATCTTCTCTGCCCTCTAACAGAGCGTAGTCAAATGCAATTAAATGACCAAAAGTGTCCCAACCTCATTTTAGCTGTAGTGATGGGCTTGGCCTCTTGTCACATGCCTGAGGATCACTTGCATTTCCTTTCCTGGCATTTTATTTTATCTTTTGCCCAATTAACAATTGCAAGTTTTGTGTCATTTTCTTATCAATTTCCAGAAGTTCCTAGAGAAATTCTTCCTTTATCTATGAAAAGTTTTTTTGCTTTTCAGAGATTAAACAAAATGATCTTTTCTAATTTTTAAGCTTGCCGTCCTCACTCTCATTCATATCTTCCTTAACTTATTTAACCAAATAAATTTTGCCTCAAGATAAAGAGCCCATAGTATTTGCAAAGGAGTTCAATTGTTATTTTTTAACTAATCTTTATGATTCATTTCCATAAAATCATTTATTGATTCAACAATACTTATTGAATATCACTTGTATGTTTGGGTGCTGGGAATATTGCATTGAACAAAACACAAAAGATCCCTATCAGGAGAGAAACATGGTAGTGAAATTTATTTATGCTCTATTCAGTGATGGCGAGTACTATGGAAAATCAGAGCAAGAAACATACAGGGAAGTCCCAGGGAAGGGCTGACTTGCAATTTTAAATAAGGTAATCAAGGAAGGCCTCTCTGGAAAAGTGATATTTGACTGAAAGACCTGAGGGAGAGAGTCATGARGATGTTTAAGGGAAAGACTTTGCAGATAGAGAACAGCAAGTACGGATGCCCTGGAGTGGGAAGGAGACAGTTGCAAATGAAGCCACAGAGAGCAGGGACTGGGAGCAGGTCACAGAAGCCCTGAAGGCTGCTCTGAGCCCTTCTGAGTGCTTCTGAGTATTAGAAAGCTCTGGAAGATGGTGAACAAGGGGCAGCAGTGAGGTTACCCTGGCTGTTGCTCTGAGAACTGGAGGCCATGGAGAAGCAGGAGAGTCAGGAGGCTGTGACTGGAGTCTAGGAGAGAAAGTGAATGCACCATGACTGAAATGAATGCATTCCCAGCTCTCCCACTGTAGCTCAGCAGTGAGCATGTTTCCTCTTAGAAAACACAGTAAAATGAAGAGTTGTTTGAAAAATAATTGTTCAAGTAGTAAAAGAACAGTTTATTTTTTATATTTAGACTGTATTCATCCTCTTCTTTATTTACATTTAGTTTAACTCAAAGTTCATTTACCTAAGTTTATTCCTGTAGCAATTCAGCAACCACCAGCCACACTGCATTATGGATATGCATGTCTATATGTGTATGTATGTGTGTGCATGTATATACATGTGCAATACTGCATATGTACATTACATATATAATATACACATACATATATGGATGGAGGTGAAATGACTTTTGAGTAATAAGTGATGCTTGGCAGTTTTTGTTATAATACATTAAAAAAAAAAACTCCTTACATACACATTTGAGGGATTGTTTGACTTTTCAGAATGGTGGTAACCCCAGATTAGAGCAGAACACACATACACACTTGTTCTCCAGTTTGGTGGAATCAGCATGACTGATGGAGAATTCTGTGAGGGCTTGGGAACTTCCCCTGTCAGCAAGAACCCTGAAGTTGCTTGAGCGAGGAGTAGTGATGTTTGCTTGGGCTCCTTGGACTACTTAAACAAAATGAATGTTTGAGCAGGATGAAGCCACAGGGACCCTCTAGTTTGGCTCTTGTCAAGTTAGGAATCTGAGATCTATAGAGGTGAAGCAACTCCCCTAAAATTATTGTCAGAGGTTGAAGTAGATCCCAGGTCTCCTTGCATCCCAGTTCATACACATCTCAGAGTATTCTTCTCCTTGATATGTGGACTACAATTTCTTATTGGCCACCTTCTAAAGGCCAGTCCACTAACAACTGGTCTGTTTTTTAAAATTCAGAAAAGTAGAGAGGATTTGATCTCTGTGTTTGGTAAAATATGTGCACAGAACCTCCAACAACACCTTGGATAAGGTGGCTTTGTATCAACATAACATGTAGACTCCATGTATGGTACTTTAGTCACCTTTTAAATATTTTCAACAAAAAGGGTATTCAGCAGTAATTTAATGACAAGTTATTATTCAGGAGATAAAAAAAGAAGACACTGTAAAGTTCAGAGAGGAAAAAATGCTTGCAGACCAGAAACAACTAAAAATAATGGAATTTATAATGAAATAGTTCAATTTTCCAAAATCAATCATGGGAACAGGGCATTTCCAAAGT